ACAGCTCCTGCTAGCTCTCTGCCATCATGGCCTTGTTTATATGTAGCCCCATCCAGAATTGGGCGCATGTTCTGAGCATTGAAGGCAGACCAAGAGATGCGCAGCAGACTGAAACCCCAAATTGAGCTAGCTATCATGGGTCATGGAGCAAGCTGGCCTATATAAACCTGGTCAGTGCCAGCACTGAAGGAAGTTGTTCTGAACCATGTTCCCCTGCCACTCAGCAGGCTGTCACCTCCCATTGTCTACAAGGTATGGCTTCTTCTGGTCTCCACTACCAGATACCTCCTTTGGGTTTTTATTTCCCTCCCTTCTTCCTTCTTTCTTTCCTGGAGGTACTGGGGACTGAACTTAAGAGTCTGGAGTAGCAAGTGCTGTCATTTGAACCATATACCCAGTCTGTGTGTGTGTGTGTGTGTGTGTGTGTGTATGTGTTTGTGTGTTAGTACTAGGGCTTGAAATCAGGGCTTCCCACTCTTGCTTGGCTTCTTCACTCAATATTCTACCATTTGCTGGGGCTGAGAAGGTAGCTCAGTGGTAGAGTGCTTGCCTTGCATGCATGAGGCCCTGGGTTTGTTTCCTCAGTACCACACAAGCAGATAAAGCCGAAAGTGTGCTGTGGCTCAAGTGGTAGAGCGCTAACTAGCCTTGAGATGAAGAGCTGAAGGACAGTGCCCAGGCCCAGAGTTCAGATCCCACAACCAACAACAACAACAACAAAAAGGATTCTACCATTTGAGTCACATCCCCAATTCCTGCCTTTTGCTGGTTAATTGGAGATAAGAATCTCATGGGCTTTTCTGCCTGGGCTGGCTTCCAATCTGAGTAGCTAGAATTAAAGGTATGAGTCACCAGCTCCCTTTGCTTTTAATTTGTCTTTCAGATAGGATTTCAAGCTAAATTTCCAGGGGCTAGTCTCCTGCCATAATCCTCCTACCTGTGCCTCCTGGGCAGCAGGGGTTATAGACATGTGCCAACATACTCAGCCTTTCTTTGGGTTTTCTTTTTTTTGGGGGGGGGGAGGGGGGTCTGGTTGTGGGGCCTGAACTCTGGGCCTGGGCACTGTCCCTCAGCTCTTCAGCTCAAGGCTAATGTTCTACCACTTGAGCCACAGCTCCACTTCCATCTTTTTTTCTTTTTGCTTATGTGGTGCTGAGGAATCGAACCCAAGGCCTCATGCATGCAAGGCAAGCGCTCTACCACTGAGCCACCTTCCCAGCCCTTTCTTTGGGTTTTCTAAAGACTAAATAAGGCAGCTGCAAAAACAGCCTGAGGGATTGCCATTCTGATTGCTAAGGCACTTGAAGGTTCTCATCTTAAGGATTTTGGGAATTGAAGGAGCGCACAATTCCCTTTGGGGCTGAGGAGAATTCAGCCAGGAGGCTGGGGCATGGAAGGCCTGTAGGCTGGCCCTCAAGGAGGTTCTCTGAAAGGCTGGTCTTTCCCTCCCTACTCCAGGCCAGCCCCTGAAGAACAGCAGCGGCTCCTGCCCAACCCCTTTGAGCCAGGTCCAGAGCAGCTTCGGTGAGTAGCTGGGCTGGGGCTGTCAGAAAGGTCAGGTCAGGCGTGAGAGACTGGATGTGCATGGCCGACTTGCCTCTTTTCCAACAGGCTTCTGCAGAACTACCTGAAGGGCCTGGGGAAGATGAAAAGGGAAGAGGAGCCAGAGGCCATGAACAGGGAGCAGGGTGAGGAGCTGGGCTGCTGGGCCTGGGATGCCCGGAGCAGTAGCGCTGGCTATGGGCCTTCCCCACAGGCCCTGTGCCTCTCCTAACCAGCTTCTCCTCCCTAGTTCTCCTCTACCTCTTTGCACTCCATGACTACGACCAGAGTGGACAGCTGGACGGCCTGGAGCTCTTGGTCATGCTGACAGCAGCTCTAGCCCCTGGACTCGCTGACTTTCCCATCAACCCAGTAAGCTCCACAGGAGACTCTGCGGTGCTTTTCCATTATGGTTCTTGGTAGCGCCTCTATAAATGGTGGCTCACACTTGTAATCCTAGCTACTCAGGAGGCTAGGATCACAGCCTAAGGATCCTTGAGGATCACAGTTCTAAGCCAGCCCAAGCAGGAAAGTCTGTGAGGCTCTTATCTCCAATTAACCACCAAAAAGCTAGAAATGTAGCTGTAGGTCAACTGGTAGAGCACTAGCCTTGAGCAAAAGAACTCAGGGACAGTGCCCAGGCCTTGAGTTCAGGCCCCAAAAACAAAACAAGAGCTGGGCACAGGTAGCTCACACCTGTAGTTCTAGCTACTCAGGAGGCTGAAATCTGAGGATCGCAGTTCAAAGCCAGCCCAGGCAGGAAAGACCATGAGACTCTTATCTCCAATAAACCACCAGAAAGCCAGAAGTGGCATTGTAGCTTAAGTGGTAGAGCATTCGCCTTGAGCTGAAGAGCTGAGGGACAGCGCCCAGGCCCAGAATTCAAGCCCCAGGACCGACAAAACAAAAACAAAACAGAAAAACAGGAGTAGGGGAGGCTCCAAAGCCTCTATGGCAGGGCTGGGGTATCGGATGGGGCAGGCCTCTTGAGAATACGTCTGGAAACTGCATGGGAACTCTGTTGTACTCCTATAGGTGATCCTGGTTGTGGACAGGGTGCTTGAGACCCAGGACCTGAATGGAGATGGGCTCCTAACCCCGGCAGAGCTCGTCAACTTCCCAGGAGAAGCCCCCCAGCACACAGAGCTCCCAGGACTCCTCGTCCCAGCTCTGCAGGAGCCCCAAGCTACTGGGAGGCAGGCCCTATCTGCTAAAAGCCCACTGAGACAAGAAACCCAGGAAGCCCTGGGATCCAGGGAAGAGGCATGGGGCCAGGAAGCAGCCGGAAGGGAGGCTTTGCAGCCTCTACAGGAAGCTGCACATAAACCAGGAACTGAAGGCGATGGCCCAGCTTCCCTCGTCCCTGAAGCCAGGGGACAGGAAGTGGCTGGAGATACCCCAGGTTCTGAAGGAGAAGCTAGGGAACAGGTAGAGGTGGAAGGAGGGTATGTCCCAGGTCCCAGACAAGATGCTGAGGAAGAGGCAGAGGCCAAGGACAATGGAGGAGAGGTCCTTCTGGGGGAAACACTGGAGTCCAAGAACCTCCCAAGCGAGTTTGAGGTTCATAGTATTCAACTGGAGAATGATGAGATATAGACATTGAGGATACAGGCTTGCAACTCTCAAAATCTCAGTGTCAGGACACAAGCCTAGGGGGACAAGAGCCACCTTGGAACTGGATGTAATGGCCCAGACTAGTGATCCCAGCACTCAGAACACGAAAGCAGGAAGGTAGTGTGTTCAAGGCCAGCCTAGACTACATAGTGAGACCTTGTCTCAAAACCAAAAGAATATAAACCAATTTCTGTGGCCCCTTTGGGGGCAACAGCAAGAGTCATGTCTTTCTGTGTAGTTCAAGGAGACCCTAAACTGAGAGACAACATTCAGATTCAGACAACCAATAAAGAACAAAATGAATTTATCTCTTGGGCTATTCTGCACTGGTCAAGCTTTGCCAGATCCTATCAGGGATACAGAGTTGGGGTGGGGATGGGGGTGTGTGTGTGCGATGGACAAGCATCTTAGATTCTTAGATTCAGCTTTCCCAGTGCCTCTGACCTGGGACTGTCAAAACAGCCAAGTCTGCACCATGATCTACAACCTGCAGCAGACAGCCCAGGAGAAAGCACAGTCTGTCTCTGGAGCCTGAAGCTGCTCCCACGCCCTCCACAGGGTGGTCAGATACCAGTGCCCTCTTCCTACCACTCAGGCAGAGGGTCTGTGTCACCCTGCACCTGCCCTCCTGTCTGTGGTAATACAACAACTACCATTTGTGAGAGCCTCCACACAGGTACCATGCCAGCATTTCCTGTAACTTCTGGCTTTTATCCTCACAACAATTCTATAACCAGACAAAACTGGGGTGCCCTCGTTTTGACAAGCTGAGATGTCATTTTGACAGATGAGGAAACTGAGGAAGATAAACTGAGTAATTTATTCTAAGGTGACACACCAAATTAAAGGACAGACTTGCAGATTTGCCATTCAGGTCTGTCTGACTCTAAAGCCCATGCTTTTTTTTTTTCTTTTTCTTTTGTCAGTCGTGGGGCTTGAACTCTGGACCTGGGTACTGTCCCTCAGCTCTTCAGCTCAAGGCAAGCACCCTACCACTTGAACCATAGCTTCTGTGGTGGTTTATTGGCGATAAGAGTCTCATGGACTTTCCTGCCTGGGTGGCTTTGAACTGTGATTCTCAGATCTCAGCCTCCTGAGTAGCTAGGATTACAGGTGTGAGCCAGCTTTTTTGGGGGTGTGGGGGGGGGAGAGAATGCCAGTATTGGTTCTTGGGCTCAGAGCCTTATATCTCTCAGCTGTTTTGTCCATGGCTGATGCTATACCATGGAGTTTTGCAGACTTTTCTGTTCAGGCTGGCTTTGAACCATGATCCAGGTCTCAACCTTCTGAGTAGCTAGGCTTACAGGCATGAGCTACTTAGCACCCGGCAATGCTCATGCTCTTGATCCTATTACAGGGCCTCACCTCCTACTCCACCCTACCCCGCCTCTGTATCTGGTTACCTCTGTGGCTGAGATACTGAGGCAGGCAGGGAGGGTGGAGCACTGGAGAAGGGATTTTTGGACAGCAAAGGCCCCATGGAACCACAGAGCAGGCTCCCTGCCCGCTGCTGATGTTTGGCTTCAGATCCTGTGGAGTCTACACAGCACAGGGCCCCAAGGAGATTTTCTCACAGCTTCTGGTTGTTCTGTCGGCTGGCTGGGCTACGAGCTGCTGTCTGTCCTAGAGAAGGGTTCAAGGTCTCACGCCAGGAGCTGCCACCAGAGAGATAGAAGACAGCTGGCTGCAAGGCTGGGACACTTCCTGCCCCTGGGGCCTAGACAACCACCCCTCTGAGCCTGGCTGGAGAGGTTAGTTTGGAGAATGGGGGATAAAACCTTAGGAATCTGAACCAGAGCAATTCAGACCTCAAGAAGGACAAACAGCCAGCCGGAAGCAGCTGGTTTGGGGAAAGAGATTTATTTGCTCAGCGGCTGTGCAGGATGAGATATGGCGGGACAAAGGGCACCAGCAGTCTCCCATCTTCCCAGGAAGCAGGGCTGGGGGAGTCAGGCTGGATGGAGGAGGGAAGCAACAGCAGGCCATGCGGTCAGCCTCCAAGGGGGAGGAGCTGGTGCCCCGGCCACACAGCTCTTACACAATGCCATCGAACCCCTGTAGACCACACTTCGTGCCAGCCACCCGGCAGCCAAACCTGAGTGAGTCTTCCATGCTGTTCCCTGGAGAGGGGACAAGCGGCTGGGTCAGCGTGCTGTGCCAGACAGGGCCTGGCCCCAGTCCCCAGAGGACCCCATGGCACTCACCCTTTGAGAGGCTGAAGATCACAGAGGCATTGAAGGTGTCTCCAGCCCCCAAAGTGTCCACTACCCGAGGTGGTGGGAAGGCATCTGAGTGGAGCAGCTGGCCGTCAGGGCCCAGGGCATCGGCACCCTCCTCGGCCCAGGCACAGATGAGTGTGGCCCTGTAAGAGGTCCGCTTAGCTGAGAGCACTCCCCGTTCCCCCACACAGCGGGGATGACCCTTGAAGGAGAGGCTCACCTCCCCCCATGTCCTCTAGGGCCCTTCATGGCTTCCTTACTCACCCCTTCTTCACACGACTATACAAGCCTCTCAGGGCCTCCTTGGCTGACTTGTACCCCAGGTGTTTAGCTATGTCTTTGCTGACAAACACCTGTGGGGAATGGAAGAGAGGCTGGCAGCCACTCACCACCACCAACCTGGGGTTGCCCCCCACCCCCCTCCCCGTGAAATAACACAGCCCCCCCCAATATAGCTACATAAATCCCCACATGGCATCTCGCTGTCTCACAGGAACACAATTTTATGTTTGCTTAGAACACACCCTTGTGAATAGGAACCCCAAAGTCCTGGTCCATTTGTTCTAGCATCAGAGAACTGAAAAACCAGAGTGGATCTGGAACGCCATCTTGTGGTAAAATCTATCCCTGCCCAGTTTAATAGTGCTAGTTCTCAAGAGAGCATTATTTGCTTTTGTTTCCCACACACAAATATGTACACCCCCCCAAAAAAAAATAAAAACAGGTTTCTCTAGAACTCTCTTAACACTAGCTGTACATTAGAGTCTCCAGAGATAGCTATGGTAAGAAATAGAGAAGACCTGGCTTCTACCCTTACCAGTTAAATAACAAAGAAACAAACAAAAAATGAGAGTAGCTGAGTGCTGCTAGTCAGGAGACTGAGATCTGAGTATTGATATTCAAAGCCAGTGTGAGCAAGAAAGTCTGAGAGACTTATTTTCAATTGACCAGCAAAAATCCAGAAGTGCCTGTAATCCTAGCTACTCAAGAGGCTGAGATCTGAGGATCACAGTTCAAAGCCAACCCCAGGCAGGAAAATCCGTGATACTCTTATCTCTAATAAACCACCAGAAAACCAGAAGTGGTACTGTGGCTCAAGTGGTAGAGTGCTAGCCTTGAGCTGAAGAGGTGAGGGACAGCGCCCAAGCCCAGAGTTCAAGCCCCATAAACATAAATAAATAAATAAACAAATAAATCCAGAAGTAGAGCTGTGGCTCAAGTGGTAGATGGTCTTGAGTGTAAAAACTAAGAGACAGTACCTAACCCCTGAGTTCAAGCCTCATTTCCCCTGGGGGCATGGAGGATGAGGAGAGGGAAAGAAAAGAGAGAGAGAGAGAGGAGAGAATGAGATTGACTCAGGCATCCATACTTTTAAATTATGTACCAAGGCCCGAGACTAAGATTCAATTCCATTTCCCCCAGTCCTGCCCATTACGTGCAAGTCTCCTTCCTGCCCTCCCCTCACTCCTAGTGGCTGCCACCTGCACTCCAGAGATCAAAGTGTCTTGGAACCTCAGAGAACAGCTTGATCTCCATACTTTGCCAAGGAAGTCTGGGGAGGCTCAGAGGGAAGGTGCTGTGGCTCTCTGGACACTTACCCAGGAGCTGCCATTTGGAGCTGATAGGTATGCAGGACTCCCGCCCTCCCAGCCCCGCTAAGAGCTACATTAGCTGAGTGTGGCAAGGGGCAGCTGTGGTGTACTCACCACCTCTCCATAGCCAAATAGCTGGAACAGCTCCTCCCGGGGCTTCTCTATCTCCACAGACACCCGAATCTTCTGCTCTGGAGGCTGCCTGGCATTGTGCTGTTCTATCCGATGTAGCATCTTCACCTGTTCTGATGCATTCCGGCCCTGGGGCAGGATAGGGCTAGCTCAGGAAGTGCTTGGTTCATAGAGCTCATTCTGGGTGAGGAGGTAGAGGGGTTGGAGGGGCTGGACTGGAACCCCATCTTCAGCTACAAAACTTTAGGGCTGTCACTGGACCTTGGAGACCTTATTCACCAGCTTTGCCATTTGACCAGCGAGGCGATTACAAAATAAAACAATATGAATGCAATGGTGCATGCCTGTAATCCCAGCACTGAGGCAGAATGATCAAGAGTTCAAGGCCAGCCTGAGCTATATATCCAGAAAGAGAATCTTCCTCTGTACCCCTCTCCTTTCTACTACCTTCCATTTTTCCTTTCGGAGCCTCATGCTTGTTAACCAGGTGCTCTGCCACTTGAGCTACAAACTCCAGTGTTCTGCTTTTAGGTTATTTTATAGATAGGGGTTTTGTGGTGACTATAATCATCCTTCTGACCTATTTACCTCCCGAGTAGCTAGATGACAGGGACATGCTGCTACCCTGGGCTTGTTTTGTTGAGATGGAGTCTAAGTAACTTTTTGCCCAGTCTGGCCTCACACTATAATCTCCATCTCCCAGATAGCTGTGATTACAGGCTTCTGTAACCTCACCATGTTGAGCCATCACGGCCAACCTCTTTTCTGGCTTTTTGAGATAGTGTTACTATATAGCCCAGGGCAGACTCCAACTGACAATGCTCTTGCCTCAGCCTCATGAGTACTGGGATTACAGAATATTGCTGTCACATCGAATGAGAGATAGACTTTCTGAAGGATCTACAGTAATTTGAGCGACAGTGCTAGGATTGGAACTTCAGATTTCTAGGTTTCCTCTCATCCAGACTCCAAGACTTCTTAGAGTGATGGCTCTTATTTCCCTTATTAGGGAGCTAAATCAGCCTGACTGAGCCCCCACCAACACAGGTAGAACAGAGCTTGCCTCAATGTGGATCCATTTGAACCGGGTCAGATCAACCTTCTCGAAGTCCTTAGCAGACACATCTGGCAAGTTCCTAAGCCGCAAGAGGTAAGGGGCAGAGAAGGCGCATAGTGAGCTCCGCTACATTAGGTTTTCAAACTGGCTGCGGAAGACCCTGGACCTAGTAGTGCTGCTAGCAGCATGGCAGGAAGCTGAGAAGCATAGGGTTCTCAGGATAAACTCTAGGATGAATTCTGTCCCAGTTGGCTGATGTGTCTCCTTTTGAGTTGCTGGAGGCTAGCTCTCCGCCCTAGGAGACCACAATATCCCAGAATGCTCAAGTGCTAGGGACTACACTTCCCAGAATCCCTCTTGCTGGCAGCATACAGCTCCCAGCATGCAGTGCCTCAGTGAAGTACAAGACCCAAGCCAGGTGCTCTTTCTAGTCCCACTTACTTTTGGTACCCCAGCATTGTGAGCTTGCCTGTGACAGCAAGAATACCCTTATCCTGGGTTTGGCAGCTCCCTGAGGACTAAGTTGTCACTTGAAGAAAAGTTTGTGTTTAGCTGGTCTAGGGGTGGAAGCCCAAGAAATGGTCTATCCCCCAAACTCCTTGGCCAGAGACCTATCACAGCTGGAGGCTTCCCTCCAGGTTCTGAGGTCTTTCTGAGGCTGATGACCCACTGGTACCCAAGGCCCAGAGCTGTGGCCTTGCAGGCCTGCTGCAGTTGGAGGTATGTGTGTGAAGACGCCTGGAGGGAGGCTAATGGAAACATTTTCCCTCCGAATTCCACTCCCATGCTGTGAATGCCCATGCGATGTCCTTGATCAGAAGCTGCAGCTTGTTACTTAATAGGCAATAAACTGTCCAATGATAGACTGAAGGTCACTGCTAGCATATATGTGTGATTGCATGTGTGTTGGGATAGAACCTAGCATCATAAAACCTTTCCTGGAATGACTTCTCTCCCCCAGAATCCTGGGGCAGCTAGCCTCCAGCCCTCCCAGCCCTAACCCAGGATTTGTCATGTACAAGGTTCTCAGAAAACTGGACTTCTTAATCTGAAGAGTGGCAAGCTCATACTTGGGTCTCTCATGACATCTGGTGGTCCTGATTTTCCAACTCATTGTTCCCCTTCCTCCTCCTTCAGCAAGGACTGAAAATCCTGTGTGGCACATTTGGTTTGGTTGGTTTTTGCCAGTCCTGGGACTTGAGCTTAGGGCTTGTGCATTGGCCCTGAGCTGCTTTTGCTTAAAGCTGGCACTCTACCACTTGAGCCACAGTGCCATTTCCATTTTTTTCTGTGTATGTGGTACTGAGGAATCAAACCCAGGGCTTCATGCATACAAGCACTCTACCACTAAGCCACATTCCCAGCCTGTGTGGCATGTTTGGTGTGTGGTGTGTTTGGTTTCATCTTGGTGGGACCTTTGGAGCATCATCCCTTTTGAACACTTCGATCTCAGCTCCTTGGTGCCATGCTGCAGGCTTGCAACCGTGACACTGACCTTAGAAAACCCAGTGAATCCATTAGCCCTTCAGGGACTCATAGGGGTCAATTTACATCTCCTACCCTCTGTCTTGGGAATAGATTCTCCCACTCCAAGCTGCCGATTGGCTAATTACAGAGGAATCACATCAACAATTACGTTCTGTACAGACTTGCCTTCTCATCCTTGGTGTTGGCCAAAGCCAAATGACCATGCAGAGAAGAGCCCGCCCCTCCCACCCCACTTCTCCTCTCATTGGAAGCAATTAAAAAATCACCAAACAGCTTGGCATGGGGGCAATTTCTGGCATATAGAAGCCATGGGGTGGCGGGGGGCAGGGAGCAGTGGGAAGCCCACCGTGGTGGGAACTGATTGGTGGGTTGTGGCAGGGTGAGGCCAGGTGCCTTACGTGTCGTAGAGCAAAATGGTACGAGAACCATTGGAGGTGTTGACGATGCAGCAAGAGCAAGGGGTGTCCCCTCTGCTCTGCCAGGCCACGTGAGACACATCCACGCCCCGCCGTTTGAAGTCAGCCACCAAGAAGCTTCGGGTGGAGCCCGAGCCAAGGAGAGGGCAAGGAAATAGAAGTTAGAGCCTATACACGGCCTGGATCTTCCCCAGGCATGGGGAGGAGGTGCAGGAACACATGGGCCTCTGGGAGAAGAAGAGTCCTGTCCTGGGAGTTGAGCGACGGCGCTAGCAGCTTGCAGCGAGCAGACAGATGCACAAACCTGTAGGCATGCAGGATGGTGCGGCTACCACTGGCTTCACTGATGATCACTGTGGAAGTGGGAATGGAGCCTGTAGTTTGATAGACAGCATAGCGTAGATCCACGGAATAGCGGCGGAAGTCATCCAGGACAAAACTGCCAGGGTGGAGCAACCCAGGGGAAGGGCAGTTCGGCAAACATTTGAGGGAGCTGGGAGCTAGAAGGCAGGGACACTAGAGACCTTGAAAGGTAATGGAGCAAGCAGAGTAGAGGCTGGGCGAATCCTAGTCTTGCCACAGGTTGTGTTATACTTAGGGTCAGGAGGAGCATTTCCAGGGTCTGGAACTAGGGTGCAGAGCTAGGATTTGGAAGGGGTGTTTGTTATTGTTTATTTGTGGTACTAGGTTTTGAACTCAGGGCCTTACACTTGTTAGGCTGGCCTTACACTTGAGCCAGGCCTTCAGCCTTGCATTTTGCTGGTTATCTTAGAGGTAGAATCTAGTGAACTTTTCTGCCTGGGTTGGCCAGAACCAAGATCCTATAGATCTCAGCCTCCTCAGTAGCTAGGCTTAAAGGCATGCCCAGCTTGGAAAAGACATTCTTTTAGGTCCTGACTCAAAGTCGGGCTGGAAGGAATTCATTTTTTTTTTTTTTTTTTGGTCCGGTCGTGGAGCCTGAACTCTGGGCCTGGGCGCTGTCCCTCAGCTCTTCAGCTCAAGGCGAGCGCTCTACCACTTGAGCCACAGCGCCACTTCCGGCTTTTTTCTTTTTTCTTATGTGGTGCTGAGGAATCGAACCCAGGGCCTCATGCATGCAAGGCAAGCGCTCTACCACTGAGCCACCTTCCCAGCCCAGAATTCATTCTTGTTCAAAAATCTAGACCTGGGTAAATTCGAAGTCTAGAACTTCTATGTTGTTTGAAACAAGTAGGTGTGGGCATTCATGCCAAGCCCAAGCAGAATTAATAATTACCAAGGTGATACTTTGTTCCCCTCCCAGCTTCCCTGTGCATGTTCATGCCCATGGCACTGTCCTCTCTGGAGTCCCTTTTAGTTCTACTGTGATTCCTTACTCTACATCTCTTTCAGGATGCCCAGCCAGGAAGTGGTGCAGTCCTCGTGGGCCTGCTCACTGTCCTGTCCTCTCAAAGCCAGGCGAAGGCTGATGAGCAATGAGCTGGCTTCAGCAGCTAAGGTCCCTCTGTATGGACCCAGTCCATAGTGATTTCCCCCAATGACAGACTCTAAGGATGTCCCTTCAGAAAGACTGAGCCAGCAGAACTAGGCCAGCCCCAGACATCCCTAAAAGCATAGGAACTGGCAACTAGCCCAGCAGCCCAGCCACCATCCTGGCATATCTCATTACGACTCCATTTTCAGCAGCACCAAAGCTGAACAAGACAAGGTTGTAGGCACCAAAGCCTCTAACTCAAGAGTCCTTCAAAAGGTAGTTCCCCTCCCCAAATATCTGAGATTTGGTTTTGTTGGCCAAATAACATTTGTACCCACAGAGTCTAGCATGGTAGGTGCTCATTAAATATTTGCAAACACAAAGGAATTCTGAATGGCCTACCTACCAACATGATGGCTACGAAAAGGAGAATCTGCCACCCTAAGCTGCAAGCCTGCCTCCAGCCAGGAGGAAAGAGACCATTCAAGAGAGCATGTGTCTCCAAGTCCCTCTGCCCCACCTCCAGGGCAGGCTTTCTGCCCCTATTTGTCTTGTACCAGTTCATCAAAGCATGGAATCTGGCTGTGGCTCAGGTTGGGCTCTGGCAGCAACCCCCTCAAACCAAGGTTCAAAGGGCTGAGTGTCACAAGCCAGTAACCTGGCCATATGCCCCGGAGCCCACAAGAGGGCAAAGTGTGGGCCTCACCTCCTGATAAGTGCTGCTGAGTTGGCAGAGCCAAGGGTTAAAGGGCCCTTGAGTCCCTGAAGCAGCGAACATGGAGAAAGCGCGTGGGGCACTTTTGGATTGTAGCATCCACAGCGAGCTAGGAGGCGTGAGTTCTGGACCCAGCTTTGGCACGTGGCTTCTGGGTGTCCTGAGCAGGGATGTTCTGTTGCTCCTCCAATGAGCAATGACATGAACATTAGCCCTGCCCCTCCACTGGAAAATGAACCAGGCCTCTGCCCTGGGACTGTGGAGGGTGCATATCCCTGAGGAAGTATGTGTATAGCATGTTCCTAACTGCCTTCTGCCTGAAGTACAGCCAGGATAAAGGACATGAGAAAGGCAAAGGCAAGTCCATCGCAGGGCCTGTAGGAAGCAAAGGAAGGAAGGAGGTAGGGATGCCTAAGCAGCTCTATGACAAGCTATGGAAAAGAAACCGTCAGAGCAGCAGTAACTCCTGAACAGTGAGGGCCCAGGAGTCTTGCTCTCCACTGAATCCCTTCCTATCTATATCTTCTTCTTCTTCTTTTTCTTCTTCTTTTTCTGATCATGGGGCTTGCACTCAGGGCCTGGGTGCTGTCCCTGAGCTTTTTTGCTCAAGGCTAGCACTCTACCAAAAGTTCATCTTCCAGTTTCCTGATGGTTCATTGGGGATAAAAGTCTTATGGACTTTCTTACCCTCAAGTCACAATCCTCAGATCTGAGCCTTCTGAGTAGCTAGGATGATGGGCCTGAACCACAAGCGCTGGCTCCTCCCACCCATTTCTGATGGTTCACCAACCATTCACTTCTTTGCCCTGGCCCACTCAAGGTACAGACATTCTGCTCTCTACACCCTGTGATTGACTTCCCCCAGTGGGCAATCCCCCTGGACTCACTCAGCAACATGGTCACGGGCCAGTGAGCCCATGAAGGCACAGGGGGCTCCAAGCAGGGAGAGGACGGTGCAGGAGTTGGACGCATTGCCTCCACGTTGCCATCTCTGGGACAGGCACCTGCAAAGCACAAGGTAGATTCCTGCAGCCCTGCCGGGCTGCTCCCAAGTGAGGTAGAGCAGACACCAGGCCCTTTAGTGGGCCATAGAACACAAGAGCCAGGGGATATCCCAGGTAAACACCTAGATACCAGCTCATTCTCTGCATGAAGCAGCTGAGGATCAGCCAAGGGAGGGGCTTGGCTGCCAGCCAGCTCTCTCTCTCTCTCTCACACACACACATACCCTGGATGGTTTATTCAGGCTCATGGCAGGGATTCTTTGGCTGTTCCAAAAGAATCAGGAAACCATATACTGGGGTCCACCACATTTTGAAAGCTCTACCAACTGGGATTTCTCCTCTTCAGTACAATGACAGCCACTCTCAGAACGCTGTTATCTTCAGTCTCCTTTTCCCTGACCTGGTCGACTCAAAGAGTTCAAAGACTGAGTGTCACTCCCCAAAGGGGACATGTTTACTACCTGCTCCTGTCTCAGGAAAGCCTACTTCAATATTAACTGCAGAGCCGCAAAACAACATGAGCAAGCAGGAGAGCAAACCCAGTGAGTGATCATTTAAAAAGTGTGTGGAGCTGGGCGCTAGTGGCTCACGCCTGTAACCGTAGCTACTCAGGAGGCTGAGATCTGAGAATTGGTTTAAAGCCAGCCCAGGCAGGAAAGTCCCTGAGACTCTTATCTCCAATAAACCACCAGAAAACCAGAAGTGGTGCTGTGGCTCAAGTCTCAAGTAGTAGAGTGCTCACCTGGAGCTGAAGAGCTCAGTGACAGTGCCCAGGCCCAGAGTTCAAGCGCCACAACTGACCAAAAAAAAAAGTATGTGGAGGGCTGGGATGTAGTTCAGGGGCAAAGTACCTGCCTAGCATGCTTAAGGCCCAGGGTTCCATCTTCAAGATCAAATGTGTGACCTGGGTGCTGGTGGTTCACATCTGTAATCCTAGCTACTCAGGAGGCTGAGATCTAAGGTTTGCAATTTGAAGCCAGACTGGGCAGAAAATTTTCTATAAATTTTCACTAAATTACCAAAAATCTGGAAGAGGAGCTGTGCCTCAAGTGGTAGAGCACTAGCTTTGAGCAAAAGAAGCTTAAGACAGGGGCTAGGAAGGTGGCTCAGTGGTAGAGTGCTTGTCTTGCATGCATGAGGCCCTGGGTTCGATTCCTCAGCACCATATGAGCAGAAAAAGCCAGAAGTGTGCTGTGGCTTGAGTGGTAGAGCAATAGCCTTGGGCTGAAAAGCTGAGGGATAGTGCCCAGGCCCAGAGTTCAGGTCCCACAAATGACAAAAAAATAAAAATAAAAATAAACCAGCGCCTGAGTTCAAACCTCAAGACTGGCATACACACACACACACACACACACACACACACACACACACGAAAGTATTTGGGAGTGACTTTTACAATGTTAAAAATTCAAAAGAGCCGGATGCTGGTGGTTCACACCTGTAATCTTAGCTACTCAGGAGGTTGAGATCTGAGATGGAAGCCAGCCCAGGGAAGGAAAATCTGTGAGTCTCTTATCTACAATCACAGAAAAAGACACAAGTGCCGGGCGCTGGTGGCTCACGCCTGTAATCCTAGCTACTCAGGAGGCTGAGATCTGAGGATCATGGTTCAAAGCCAGCCCGGGCAGGAGAGACCGTGAGACTCCTATCTCCAATAAACCACCAGAAAACCGGAAGTGGCGCTGTAGCTCAAGTGGTAG